CCCAAGTAACTTTTAAAATTTGTTGCACTGGTGCACCTATTTTTTTCCATCATTAGGTGCACCAAAGTGTTGTGTTGTTATAAAAAGCATGAAGTGACACACTGTGATCTTTTGGAGGTGATCTGTATTTATTCTAACAATATGAATTATAACAAATAAAACATCATGCAATAAACTATCTAATCCAGCTCCTCTCACACAGGAGAGTGGTACCAAGTGGATGAGAATATGCATGAGCAGTGGGTGTGGAGCTAGTAGCAGGGGCTAGTGGTGCGTTTATTACTGACAGGTCAACAGTGCATTAATAATCACTGGAGGCCAATGGCCTTGTCCTCATAAATGTAACAATGTGCTGTGTTTACAACTAACATAGCACATGGGAGATGGAATAACGTTGTGTGACAGCCGGAAAATGCCAGATCACTGAAAGTTTGCAAATACAAGTGAGCACTATTACCAGAATGTAACAACACCAGTAAAGTTCTTAACAGCATGAACAAATATTCTAATTACTATTTTCTACAAAACATTACAAAGCTAAACAGTTCACCAAAGTGCAGTTTCTTGACCTTACAGAGCAGCCAACAACTATAGAAGCACCTGTGAGTCAAAGCGCATGGCACAGTCAGAAAACAGCCAACGCAAGCTCACATTACCCAGAACAGCAGAGAGGAGCACAGGAGTCAGCTGAAGCAACTCACAGTGCAGATGATTTCCAATCTGCTGTATAACACAAATAAAATAATGCTACACATACACACACAGAGCTGCTAAACATCAGGCGCACCAGCGCAACCAATGAAAATCTTTAATTGCACTATACGGTTTGGTGGCCGCAATCTCGAGGCCTGATGCTAACGGTACTCTGTTACATGGCATCAGCTCTGAGACAAATCAGTCTGTACAAGATAGTAATGATCATTCTGAACAATGTGTCATTTAAAGCATTATGTGTTGTGGGGTTTTAGTTCACCATGACAGCAGGTTGCTATCACCAAACACAAACTGAACAGAGTGCTGCAACATTTTTTTTTTCAATTAAATTTTCAATTACCATTGAATAAGCTGCTATAGCTGTACCAGACTGAGGTTGAATACAGCTCTATACGTATGCTGACTTGTGAGATAATGATGTGTCTCAGTCTTCACTTTTAGCAGACAAACTTTTTACTGCTCTTCAAAGCATTCTAAAGTGTAATTCTTTGAAGTTTGAAAATTATGTGCACAGACTTTCTCAGGCTAGTAGTCTCCACAACTCTCCTATTCCAAAATGACAAAATGTATGCATTTTAACAGACCATGAAGCTTTGATGTTCCCACTCCTATCTATGCTGTAAACAGAAATCCAAAAGATACAGGGTATACAGCACAATAAATACAACTAGGCATCAGACAGTCCGAAAAACCTATATCAGAATCTTATACCAGAACTGAGCTTGTTTAAAGGAAAGGAATTCTATAATATCTGCTGTGCTATCAATATTATGAGTTATCTAGTATGCTGTTGTTGCTTGCAGTAGTACCATCCCATACTTACACACATATTTAAACAGCATAGGATGATGGAAAATGCTGAAGAGGATGAAGAAGAAGATAAGGAAGTACATGTAATGTAGCTGTAGTCTATTAATATAGACTAGCAACTGACTTTTTACCCTCATAACCTCACCTAACTGGAACCCACCACACTGCTACCATAGAGTGAGACATACAAATACTATGCTTTCAAAGCATACGGAACTAAAACATTAATATAACTTTGTGACTACTTTCCCAAGTTACCTAAGGGGATGTACACAGCCATGAGTGCACCAAAAATAACAGAATGTTTTATGCTTTATTGCAAAAAGTTCATAGGTTTCATTGTGATTTTAATGAGACTTAATGAATAACTAACGCTGTATTATTTTTTGCCTATTTTTATGATCAGTGAAAAATTGGCCCATGGTGGCTTTACTCAAGTTTTAAAGATTCTGTTGGGGTGAGCTCTGAAACTCTGAATGTGAAAATAGAATAGACAAGTTCCAATCCAGTGGCTCTAAACAAATCATTTGTGCCTGTGGGTACTGAGCACCTGCATGTATGTGTGTGTGTGTCCTTGGAGCAGGAGTTGTGCACCAAGAGAGCAAACATTAAGCTTGCATGATATGCACTTGAGTACTTGGTGATACGTGGCATGAATTCATTGCATTTTGTTTCCAATAGCTTTCTTTTTTTTTTGTCATTTTCATGCGTGCCCAACACTTAAATTCTCAGTTTCAAACTGGTAACTGCTGCATATGGAAGATGCAGTTGTGAATGTGTGTAAATGCTATACTCCATTATAATAACATAAAACATAAACAGGGTAAATTAATCTGGATAGTCACACAATAGTAACATGCCATGTTTGTCTTCATGTTGCAATGCCTTTGACTGTGATAGTCGCACAGGCCTATAACACTGGAACACAACAGTGTATCTACATGTCAATAAATACAATGAAATGTGCATTTTTATTACCTTTACACGAGATGGCATCCACAAAAAAACAAACGCATATACTGTGCGTAAAAATCTTTACTATACCATGCACATGTGTCACACAGACTGACAGTGTAGTTCCAAAAAAACTGCTCTCTTAAAGCTGGACACTAACTAAAATGTCACTCACATGTGAGATGAGAAGCTAGGTTATTCAGCCCCCTGTCTGTTCACAAGGTTCTAACAAAATTATTACAGTAGTAGATCAGATTCTCTGATGCATCTGTTATTTTGCTCCATTTCTCAGCTGTTATTTCTATTCTGAGTTACTTGAGCAGTTAAAAATGGTGCCAGACAGTTTACTTTACTTCGCAGACTATTTTGCTGCTCTGTCAGATTTCCACTCTATAAAAACATTAATTATTAAAAGTGTGAATTACCAGTTGTACACTTTTACTTTTATAACTGCACACATCATTATTATACTGTTGGCCATAATGTAACTAAAGTTGCTGACCCATAAAAACACACAGTGATCAGAAACCTGAGAAGGGCGTTTACATGCCACATTATCCCAGTTGCTATTGTAGTGCTCCAGATAGCATTATCTAAGTTTCTTTCAAAGGACCTGAGATTAATCTGGACAAATATATAACCAGGACACTTCAAAAATTTGATCACAATGGGATACTAATGACCCAGACATGGCTTAATATCATGTTTGTATTCCTACAACTCATCCATTTGTACTGCTATTAGTTTATGGATTTTCTTTTCCATGATCAGTGTGACGATTTTTTTTTTTACGTAGTTTGCTCTGGTTATAATCTTAATTTTCAGATTGTATTGCACATTTTTTCTGCTAACAACAAATGCCATACAATTAATCAACATCAAGTCAAAATTACAATATGAACCAATGCAAATAACATTTCGCCAAAAGGTGCAATATAGGATATTCAACATCCAGCAAATCCAACTGAGGGTTTAAAGTGTCATGTCACTGGTCTTACAAATGTATGCAATCCTCTTTGTGTGGCAGTCTTGCTTTTGATATTGTCTCAAGTTTTATTGCTCCATCACATGGTACATAATGAATATTGAACTAAAGGTTGACTGCAAAAACAAAACTGTATCACAAATGGTATTGTAACATCTGGCAGACAATTGGCAAAAAGATATCTTCCCCAAATTCTTCAGCCCTACTTATGACCTTTATCATTTAGTAGTATTTGTTGTATAGAGTTTAACATAACAATATAGAGACACAGCTTTTTCTTTTATTACTTTGATTTCCATACAAAAAATATTCAAATTGTCACAGGCCTTTAGCAATTTGTCAAACAAAAACTCCAAACCAAGTCTCTGGTTGCACCTTCCTAAATTGATGGCTCTTTGCTTTTGTGTCATATATGAGAGTACACTGAATATCTTCAAGGTTTGGACTTTTGATCAAATATAACAAGAACTGTGCATAAAACACACTGGGCTTTCAGAAATTATTACACCGTTTTTAAAACTATTCACTGACATTTTACAATGTGATAATTATTTTAACAAATAATCAAGAGATTATGTATGTCTTCTTGAGTAGAAACAAGCCTTCGTGCTGTTGTGCCTAGCAATCTCCAGGCTCAGGTTGTCCTAAATAGAAAGTCTGTGCTTACTTTTATTTTGGATGTTTGTATTGTATTGTATAACAAACCAGCTTTTTGAATTAGTCTGCGAGGCTATCCTGTTATCTAAAAAGTTACATTTAAAAAGAGATACTTTTACTTTCACACACAACTTCCTTGCTAAATGACAATATAGTTAATTTAAAATGGCAACTTAAATATTTTACAGAAGTAAGAGCACAAAAATGCAACCAGACAGTCTCATTGCCATGTAGCATTCAATGAGTTACACAGTGCTAACAGCAAAAATTAAACTAATCCCTAAGTATCAGCATTCTCCTGTGAAATATATGGAGTTTTATTACTGCCTGTGACTCACTTGTTGCTGGGAAAATAACACATCTACAGCATTTGCCACTGAGTGCCTTTGCAGATTACTACAATTATCACGCGGCTTGCCTCAACTAGGTAATTTTCTCTCACCTTTTCTTCAGCTAACTGTCAACTTAAAAAAAAAACACAGACAAACCACAAGCAGATATACACTGTGTATACATTCCCTGACTGTAATGGCAGACGACACATGAAGACGTGTCCTTAACAAAGTGTTGCTCTTCCTGCCTATAAAGACAGCTGTGGTAATGCAATTTCTACAGAAAGTGAAGGACTACACATGATTTTGATCTTATCACTGAATAGCGGAGTTAGTATTTCTACAACTTGACGAAGCCAACGAACACTAAGAAAATGAGTCAGTGTACTTGTCAGTGTGGCACTTTCATTTTGACAAGAGGCTCTTCGCAATGTTTATATACTAATAAATGAATGTCAATAGTAAAATGGTGGGTTTCAGCTGTGTCGGTCGTGTTAGCATACTTGCAGGCGGCTGAAGTACGAGACACCATTTGAAAATGAGCTTACCCGGACTCTTGAGGTTGTATTTATTCTCCATGCTGACAGCCGTCGGGTGCACAATGGAAATGATGAAGTTCTGTTGAGTTTCTGTGGCTAACTAGTTAGCTAGCTAGCACCCCGGCTATCGTCACCTACTTAACGCTAGCTCAACTTAGCAGCCCGGCTAGCTCGCTTCGGTCCTCAAACGTGAGTAGGACAGCTCAAAAAGTGGGTCGTCCTCTTGTCCCGGTGCTTCTCTATGCAGCTGCGAGGGAAGATATTTTAATTAAGTCGCCACGGGAATACAGAGGAGTTGTTTCTCAAGTTATCCGCTGTTTCGGTTTTGAAACTGTTTGTCAGACGCTATCAGCGTGACGTCACGTGTGGAACGTAAACAGGAAGTGAGCGGCCACTGGCTGTCTTTCTTCTTCTGTGGAGATCTGCGGTGGCGCATGCTCATCAACAAAAACAAACTTTATTTCACAGCAGCATACCTGGGTCATGGTTAAAACGCCTATGGCGTGGAATCGAGTAGACTCGAATCTTTTCAGCAATTAAATATCTAAAATTGTCTAATAGCCCAAAGCCACTCATATTTGCTCTATTTTAAATGGTACCATACCTACCTCAGTAACCCTGCTTCTTATTGCACATATGGTAAATGCTGCTTTATTGCTCTTACTCTTATTTTTATTGTTCTAATTTATTTCTTTTTATTTCTTACACAGAAAGCTACGATTCACCGGAGTCAGATTTCTAGTTTGCTTGTACAAACTTGGCCAATAAAGTTGATTCTTATTCTGATTGTGATTGTAATTTAAACAGTACTGAATAGTTAATGCTGACATATAGATCTTGTCTCATCTTGAAAACCATTTACTACATGTGGTCGGAATTCTCCTCTTTGAAAACTGCAATCATCAGTCACAGTATAGCAGTCTGCCAGAGCTCATACATTCAGACAGAATACTCAAATTCCTAACAAGCCAATACTATGCATAGCAATAGTATACTGCTTCACCTTAGATAAAGCTGGCCCAAGCTTGTTTGTGCAATCTAAACATCACTATTTTATTTTTTATTTTTTGAATAAATAAGCACTACAAGCTGACAAAATAAATGTCAGCATTTTTTAAAAGAAAAATCACAGCATATTCAACTGCATGTACTGTCACCAATATGCTACTCAGAGGCAATCTTTGTATTTGGGGGGGTTTCACTAATAATTTTGCAAGGTTTTCACTTTTTAATATGTGTAAGTTAATTTGTTAGAGTGCTTAATGTTGTTAGTTCTCAATCTTAACATTTAAATTAGTCAGGTAAATTTGTATTATTGGTGATGTAATAGGGTGTTAACCTTGATTAAAATCTTCAAGTAAAATTGTATTAGTTTTATTTCTGTACTGGAAATCCCTTCAGCTCAAATGACTGTCGTTTCAAATGTGCTACACAAATAATGGTGACATGACATGACTTGATTTGAAGGTGACTTACATCATAAGAAACTCAACAGTTCTCACTTATTCACTTTTAAAGGAAAAAAATATATATATGAAAATGACCTGCACTATTTACAACCAAAACAACCTCCTAGTGGTGGCCTGGGCAAATAAATGTTCTCCAGAGCTAAAGTGATTTTGAGTAACCAGTTGTGTCTTTTTTGTGTTGTCTTCTATGTTTGTTTGTTTTTTTTTCTTTTAGCAAAAATGTAAATAATGTAAATGCTGTTTTTTGGGGGGTTTTTTTGTTTTGTTTTTTTTTTACAGTTTTGTACAACAGCGAACCAAAAATTTGGATGTTCTTGGTCGTTAAAATATGTTGCAATGATGGCATATTTCACAGTTTTCGGGCACTGGATACACTAAAAAATAAATAAATAAATCTTTAAGGTATCGTTGATTTAATGCTACTGTTATGCACCTTTATGGGGTGGCTGAGACACAAGAGGTCTGAAGACCTAAGAATTTAGCTTCAGGTTGGACAGAGGCTACTTAGCATCATCAGAGTTTGTACATCAGTGGTGCAAAATTCCATCAAAAATGTGACTATTCAAATTACATAGACAGAAGTTACATGGAGTTAAAGGCTGGGGCCACTGTGTAGTTTCCCACCTTACCCAGTTGGTAATGCAGCCTCAGTCCTGTTAAATTACAATCTGCGATTCAGTACGTCGTAAGAAAGTTGTGTCTCATCTTTTATGAACGTATCAGCTTGTTGTTGGATATGTTCACTTGCTTCAAAATCAGTCATCTATAAATTGTCCAGATATCACATTTAGAATATTTCAGCAGCTATGATCCTGCTTTCAGCTTTGTAATTTGAGGTAATTATTTGACTGCACTCTTATCTGATTCTTTTACTCGTAAAATAAATACAACAAAATTATGGGCAAATTACACGGTATCCATTGCATTTAGGTTACATGTTACATAGTTTTTCCTTTTATATATATACATCCCTACACTTACCTTGTACTGGGTCTGCGTTGATTATTCAGGATGTACAGCGGGTCCTCAAACACCATATTTTTGTGTATTCAAACCTTATTCCTGAGCTTCAAGGGAATCTGATACCCACCAGTGGATTGTTTTGGAGGTGCTGTCAGCTGAAGAGGTAAAAAATAAGATATTGCATGTTCCATCTTTTATTTAATGTTCCTGCATGTTATTTTTACTGAGTTAAAGTGCTGACAGTCGTTCTGCCTCATGCAACTCTGGCAGAGACTTGACATTTCTCAGGTTTGTTTTTAAGCTGCTCCACCATGAGACACTGCTGACACTTTCCTGCATTGCTGTCAATCCCACCGGAGGTAAAACACTCACACATGTTTTCTCTCTATTGATTCATATGTATGTAGTTAGACTTAACTGTTTCTCTCCTGCCTTTTTGCCACCAAATGCTGGAAAGGCAAAGATTTCAACATGACAAAAAATAGTGTCTGTCTCACAGTCTCATTTCCTTTTCTCCCCCTGAAGATGAATGTAGAAGTTATTCAAAGGCGCAAATGTCAAGCAAATGTCAGTTTCAGGGATGAAGCAATAGACAGAAATCTGTGACTCACACAGCAGGTTACTTTATGGAGATTTCAAAGAGATTTTACAAATCCTTCAACAGATTTATAGGGGTTAATAAGGGTTACTTTTTATTATTATTGTAAGACCTTGCTCCCATCTTTGTGTTTTTTTATTTATTTATTTATTTATGATTCACTTAATATTTTTACAGTCTTCTAAGAAAGTATTTCAACATTGTAATCTGAGGGGGAAAGCAAAAGTTTACTGTCCTTTGAAAAAAATATTTTGTAATACCAAGCAACAAAGATGACAGATGGAGAGAAACAACAAAAACAAAATAGCATAAATGTGCTAATTGTCATGACAATTCATTAACCTGTTGTTGAGATATTTTGAAAACTACAAATGTCAGATGATTACCAGATTTCACCCTCTGGGGAAGCATAAATATTGGTACAAAATACCAGGATATCAATTAAAGTGGAAAACTGATCTCTTGACAGAATAATGTCAAGCGCTGCGAGCGTGGCTAAAAACACGACACAAAATGAATATAGAAGTTATGTCCTGGATGTCAGACTGTAGCAAGGTGGGGAAAGAAGGTGGAAGGGACAAAAATAAGGGGTGAAGGTGTCAGCGCCCTAGACCTGGAAAAAAAAGCTGTGCTGGAGGAATTGGTTGGCTCATTATGTTTTCGTCATATTTGTATTTGGGCTCTAGTATTAAATTGGCAGATTGCCCTCAGGTCCTCAGGCCTCATGTCAGAACTGCTGTCAAAACCCCTAGAGAGAGCGTACTCATTAGGACTGGCAGATTTTTTTTTTTTTAAATAGATGTTTTTAAGCAGATAATTGTCACCCAGTCCTTGTTCAGAATTGATGAATGTGAAAGTGCCCGCTAATGATTGTCTGCAGAGATCCAGTCTTCCACATGTTTCCATCACTAATCCTGTAAAGATGAAACTTTGAGGATTATGTATCCATAAAGGGAAGGGGCTGACTGTTTCAGCACATTTACGTCCCACCAGTATTGCTGTCTTTGTTGCACATAAAGTGAGTCTTTCATATTAAAAAGCAAAGATTTTCTATTTGTGTAAGAAGATGACAGAAAAAGGTTGTATTCCTCTGGCACATATAATGGCCCACTTGCCCATTTTCTGTGACAACATTTTTATTGTGTTCAGTATTGCTGAAACAGCAAGACAGCATATAAACTGTTATACAACATAACTTAAGAAGATTCCTTGACTGCAAAACCCTCATTATCATTTCGGACCAACCGCTGTACAAAATGAATTTCAAACTTCCAAATTCCATTGCAAAGCAACAAAAGGGAAGCTTGACCACTGACTCATGTCGCACCGCATCAAGGGCAATCCAGTTATTCTGCATGTGTGCCCACGCACTTCAGCCCTTGCAGTCAATTGTTCTCGTCATATACAGATGCCAAGGGCATTAAAACACACTGCTGCAATGTCAAAACCCACAGGAGTCATGGGCACATCATTTAGACCACTGATCCCTGCCCTCTACCAGCATTTGTGTGTTTTTTTCTGCATGTTGTGCATCTATAGAGCACACTCGCATAGGAGTTGTGTGTTTCTGTGAGAAAGGCCTTACTAACCTTCTGCAGCTGTAACATAAATGAATTGTAATTGATTCCCTACCTGACGACACAGCTCAGGGTGGGCAGTTTTTCAACATAAAATACAAGCAATTTATTTCTTTTACACTCTAAAGAGGAGCTTTGAGCTGCCAGTACACTCCATCAGAGTTGCTTTTTAAAATCTAATTATTCAAATTTCTGAAGATGTACAACCATCTGAGAAGCACCTGCACACACTGTAAATTCAGCTTTCAGACAAAGGTTGAGAAATAAATCTGTTTTGACATTTTAAAAAAATCATAAAAGACAATGTGTATGTGTAGATTCTCAGTTATCTCAGTAATCCTAAGGCACGTCTCTTTTTGGTTCTTGAAGATGTTTCATCCAACAGGCTTTCACAGTTTGTACTTAAATGGTGGGGAGTCCTGGGTATTTAATTTCACCTCCAAATTACTTGTCTAATTGTCCAATGAGGAGCCAAAACTCATATGCCTCGAGGTGTGAGTGGTTGTAAAACTGCATGGGGAGGGATGACTCAAGGTGTAAATGTTGGTGGGAGGGATCTCAAGACAACAATATAAGTTTGTGTCTGAGAATGTTGCTGCATCCTGTTAAGTTACTACTAGACAAACATTGTTCCTATCAGAGCTCTCTTACATGAACAGACTGTCAGGACGTCAGAAAGCTGAGTCTTCAGGGCACGAGGCGTCATCACTGAAAGAAACCAAGAAACCA